AAAAAAATCATTAAAAAGAAGATTTTTTGGGTCATGTGGACATGGTCATCAATAGTCAGTCCATTAAAGAACTTCTAAGAATGAGCTGCATTTAACCTAAAAATTCTCACGTTTAAATAATCAATATAAACATGTATGTTCTACTCAATTTACTTTATCAATTGTCAATTACAATTAAATTGAATTAATGTTCATCTTATTTTCAGCCACACAACACATTTGTTTTTATGAAACACAAAATTTTAATTATTAGCAAACATCAACTATACAAAGCTAAAACCATATGGAAAAACATATCACAATTAATTCCACCCAATCCGCCAGTTGGTGGTTGGTTTAGAGTGGTTTAGAACTAAACCAAAGATAATTTTTTTAAAAACGTATGAGAAAGTTACTAGCTAGCATCCTTGTCCTTGCTCACGCACTAACAGTTTGGTCCACCAATGTTAAGGAATCACAACCATCCACACGTGATTAGATACGATTTTGTGGATGTCATTAGATTTAAAAAAAAAAAAAAATTAGCACAATGTAAGATAGTATACCCTTCTGTTGTGTATTTTATTAATTTTACTATGTATATTCTACAATCTAAATATAAAATTTTTTACTTTAATGAAAAAAAATATCATTAAACCACTTAAATATTTAAAAATCAAACAATTTGTTGTTCCTAAATCATCTTTAATTAATGAAAATGTTTGCATGTTGGTTAGCTTAGTTAGTTTTCTAAACACATCATGTGGACATACATGCCAAGACAGCCACAAAAGGTAACGTTAAGGAAGTATAGTACGTACGTCCCTCAATTGTCGGTGGAAATATCGCAATTCACAAGTAGACAGACACAACCTTAGAGGTCACGGATTTTGACAAGAGCTTAACCATAGTTTAGGTTAATTAACTATTCTCAGTTATGGCGCCTCTCTGAAGTCCCACCAGCCAGCTCCAAAGTCCAAATGCATATTTTATGCCGGTCTACTCTTCTAATTTCAGCTCTAGACTATTAATATATCTTCCTAAATCCTAATTATTAACTCCTTCAAACAAGTCAACAAGTCATTTATCAAAATAGTTTCAATAATAATTTCTTTTCATTCAAAATAATTTTAGTAATAATTTAGTTTCATTCAGTAAAAGCAAATAATTTTAAATTTAAGTTGTTTGATGTGT